TAACTTTATCATCACTGTAGGTGTCTATTGGTAATTGATATGCTGTAATGTTTTATTCTCTTTTATGAATTTCCTCAACATTTTTGGGATGTTCGCAAAAACCTGAAAGATGGCACACAAGATTTTTGACTTGCCAACCAATTTGCTCCATATTCAAGGAACTCTTAAGTTTAGTTTTTAAATTCTCAAGAATTAAATAAAATTATTAAAATAATAGTACATTGTGATAGTTTACAATCGGTTCTAAGAAATAATGAGTCTGTTTTTATGTTGCAAAATACAATTCTATTGGTAGAGAAATGTATCATTTATGCAGATTTTTTGTCTTACATTCTTTATAATCCCTTACATAAATGGTTAATAGAAATTTTACTAATTTCCAATTCATACAGTAATTGACCGAAAACTAGGCAGCTTTTGGCCATGAGAGGTGTCTATGGCTTTGTTGCAGGAATTCAGGAAAACTTCAAAAGCAATGAAGTAGTTTTGATTTTGACTGAAAAATGAAAATATTTGATTGAGTTAATCTGTCTGCTTTCATACTGCATGTGCAGACTATAATACTCACTGCATCACTGCTTACAACACAGATGTCATGTGATTGCAAGGCTCTAAGGAATAGGCTGCCTGCCATTTAATTTTTGCTGTTTGTGTGTTTCATTATGAAATAACTTTTTTTGATACTCTTGATATGTAAAGCACCATTGTACTGTATGTAAACTACTACTATGTTATTGCATTATTTGTAAAGACTGTCTTTGTTAAAATATTTAATTTATTGCAGTAGTACGTGAGAGTATTTTATTTCTTGAACTTGAGCAGTGTGTCTGCCATTTTGTTTGGTTTTGTTCAGATGCATTTTTGCTGGTGCAGGCCACTAGCCCTTACTATTCTTACAGAGTGTGTTAAATAGGGAGCTGAGCTTAACCAAAAGATAATAGGTTCACTCTGTTGTCCTATTGTTCACTCTGTCATTGATCATAATATTATAATTTATCTTTCCACAGTAATTGTATGAGCATAACCCTGAGAATACAGCTTAAAATAAGTTCACTTTATAACAGAATTTTAACTATAATTTTAGGGTATTAGCTTACTGATCAACTTGTAAAACACTTGCTAAGAATAATAATACACAAGATGTTGGGAATTACCGACCTATAACTCTTAACTTCAGTATTAGGCAAAGTCTATGAAAAAGTTATATTAGCAAGACTTAATTGTTTTCTTGAATCTAATAATATCCTTAATAAAGCACAACATGACTTCAGGAAGAGCTTCTCCACCACCACTGCAGTTGTAGAGTTCATACATGAAATCGTTGGAAATTTGGAATCAAATAGAAAAACAGCAGATTTATTCATTAATCTTTCAAAGGCGTTTGATATTGTATCCCATGAGAAACTGTTGGCAAAACTTCATTATGGAATATTGAGAGTTAGAGTCAATGACCTCATTAAATCATACTTCACAGGACGTAAGCATTGAACAGAGATCTTCTGGCAATCTGAAAATTTCTTATCCAAAGTTTAATCAAATTTTGATACAATTACATCTGGTGTTCCACAAGGATTGGTGCTTGGACCTTTGCTATTTCTATTATACATTAATGATATTACAAGCTCATCTGATTTCGTTGTAATTTCTTATGCAGATGATACAACATTAATAAGTAGTGGGCAAAATCTTTGTCATCTAGAAACTAATCTGACTGAATCATTAAAATCAATTAAAAGTTATTTGTCCATAAGTGAACTGAAATTAAACGTTGATAAAACTGTATTAATGAACTTCAAGTTTCATCATGGTCACCACCACCGAAATATAAAAGTGGAAATAGACAATGAATCAGTGAAACAAACTGATTGTCATTAGTTCTTAGGAATATTCATAGATCAAAACCTAACATTAACAAACAAGTTGATACACTTCGTAATAAAATAAACTCTAATGTATTCCTCTTGAGGTGCTTCTCCAGATACATGGAAATTGATGCACTTATTTCAGTATATTATCGGACAATCTTTTCTCAACTTCAATGCGACATTGAAATTTGGGGTGGTACAACACAAAAATATGTGAATAGATTAATAGTCCTACAAGAGAAATATATAAGAAGCATTTTTAAATTGAATCCCAGACAGTCCTGTAAAGATTTCATTATTAAATATGGCTTACTCACTGTTGTAGCACTCTACTCTTACAAAGTATTATTACTATTGACAAATAATCAAAATCAATATTTTGTGAGCAATAAAGAGATACATAATCACCATAGGACATACGACCACCTAGAGGACATAGTGACTACCACAGGATGTACACTAGAAAGTCTTCAACTAACAAAGATCCTTTCTGTACTAATGCACAGCTCTTTAATAAACTCCCTGTTCAAATAAAAACTGCTTATGATAAATACTTCAAAACACTGTTTAAATGTCATCCTATTAGTGTGTCCATACAAGACATATGAATTGCTTTAACTATCTGTAATTAAAAACCATGTACCACTACAAGAGTGACCACTCTTTGTACCTGTCATCATTCAGTCGAATAAGGCAATGTACTACTCAGTAATGTAATTATATGTCAATATATTGTAATTAATGTAATTATGATCATTAATCGTACATCTAATGTATTGAAGTTATTGTAAGTTAATTAAACTGCTACCGTAAGATAAAGGAATTACTTACTCTAATTGTAAGCTATTTTCCACTGTATCATAATCTTCTAGTTTATTGTTAATGTTATTTGTTGTATGTTAATGAGGCTTTGTGTAGTTTAAAATGTAATTTACCTTTATGTTTATTATGAGCAATTGCATTATTATTCATGTAATTCATTGAGTAAACAATTTGCATCATTACTGTAAGTTATGTAGTTGAATGTAATTCATTACAACTTAAAATAATGTAGTGGTCTATATTAATCAATTAGGTATATTTTTATCATGTAATTTAGAATGATAATGTAAACATATTATTTTATTACTGGAAGTTAATTAAATTAATGTACTATAATTTTAATTAATTTCTAGACTGACTTCGATGGATGCTTTATGTAAGTTTATAAGCAATAAAATATATTATTATTATTATTATTATTATTATTATTATTATTATTATTATTATTGTTATTATTATTATCATCATAATCATCATCATCAAATATTACAACTAATGATGAAATACACATCAGATGAGCTAATGAGTTTAAATTTAAAAGATTTATTACATTTTGTAATCTATCTTTAATCATCTTCTCTTTAGATTGTACATCCTGGTACATTAAGGAAAGATGACAGTTTTGTGCCATTCATAAGAAAACATCTTTCTAATTTGATTATAGCCAACATAATGTTTTTGACAATAAGTAAATATACGATCCCTATTTAGTTGGCGTAATGACAATTTTAAATATTCACATATATCCATATGGGAAAATGGTTATAACAATATTTATTCTTATTCAGTTGTGCACAACATTTTGACAATTCCTTTTAATTGTCATCATCATGTGTATCATCATCGAAACATAATGTTCAGAAATTACACGACAGTGAAATAAATTTGTTCAAATGGTTTAATTTATTGTACTTTTGTAATAAAAACCAACATAAAGGGGATCATATATTTACTTATTTATAAGAAAACATTGTCCGTGTAAGTGTTCTACTGCATGATAAGGAATTGTTCTCTAGTCCAGCATCAAACACTCAAAAGAAAAAAATAAATTGCAGATTATGATTAAGGAGAAAAGCAGGCACATATGCAACCTGCTAGGCATCTAACACTACAACACATGTTACCATCTTGTATAACACAAAAACAATGTATCATAGACTTTTAAAATTACATTTTTATCTCCTATAGGCCACAAATTGTTTTTAATGCCATAACCTACACACTAAGACCTTTTTGCATATTCTTTTACAATGAGACCTTTTTGGTGAGTACCACCGCTTTGTTTTGTCATCATCAAGCTCTTTATTAAATTAATATCTTACTCTTACTGTACTTAATTTTTATTTATTAATTTTTAATCTAAATCCTTTAATTACAATCTTACTGCAGAGGCAAAAGTATATAACCAAGAATATGGAGATTCATGTTAATTCAATGGTGTTATAGTGGATTATTCTCCTTATGGAGAGGTCTAGTATGGCTTTCACCATGAGTAAAAATTGAGAACCTACCTACATAAATCGTTATAAGTACCAAAAACCAAGAACATTGGTTAAGGGGAGGTGCACTGACAATGAATTGCCCTCTTAAACTTCCTGGAGCTACTGGTGTACCAACTCCTCTTGAGTTGTGCCAGAGAAAACAAATACAAAGTCTTTTCAAATGAATGCAATTTCATTTTTTCTCTACTCCTATGTAATAATCAGATAAATCATTTTGGAACATGTGATATAAATACATTGTAAATCACGGTTTTCATATCTCTGTATCCTACATTGTTGGTCATGTGATTTTTAACTAATTTTCAATATCATATTAATTAAAATAATAAAATTACCTTTATTAAGTTGCGAGGCTCAAGCAGTAAGATCTGTTCATCCATCTTGATCACTAAATCATTGATTTCATTTAAGAAAGTTGTTATTTTATTATGTATGATACTACCAAAAATATCTCTTTTAATTAAAGCAGCTTAATTGTATCATATCATAGGCAAACCATGATGTAAGTAATATTATTTAATTTTTTTGCATCCTATGACGATGGGAATTTTTAACTTTTGTATTTGCCGCTTTCGATTTGTGGATATTGGTAGTGTTGGTAGCTTGGCTCATGATGGTACCACTGGCAATACAATATTGTTGCTTCTATAGTGATGGCATGGTCGTTCATGTGTTTTGTGCCGGCATCCAGAAGGTGAGCGAGGTGAAATGTTTCCGCGCTGGTTGAATTTTGAACATTTCTGACATGATTTCAGATAATATCAGGCGAAACTAAAATCAATCAATTTGCTGTACGGCGCACAGATTTATAATGGCTGACGATACCGAACTCGATTATAACATTAACTTTTTCGTGAAATCTCATTGCGGACTGATAGATGCCGAGTATGAAGAAGAAAAACAGGAATTTAAGTATGACACTGCGAAACCAGAAGTAGGAAATTTAGAAAAGAAAGGCGTTCTTATAAATGACTTAACAATTATTAATGTCCGAAGCGAATATGGTTCGTGTATTGTCGAGTTTGGAAAAACGTCAGTCGGTAAGCAAAACGGTCCAACTGCAATAACTAATGGTAAGTTGATTTTATATTATATTTGAAAGTACAAACGAGTTGTTGCTTCCGAGGGAATATGCATTTCGTGTTGAAATGAATATTTGTTGGTTGTCGACTAATATTGGTTACGTGTATTAATTTTAAATTATTTAAATGAATGGCGCTTTGTCCGATTACAATTGTTTGCATTCTTTACATTTCGATATATTAGATGCCGAAACAGTGTTTCCGTCGCCTGACGTAGATAATTACTGATATTCATTAAAGAATTCAATGCTTGTAATGATAATCTTAATTGCTGTCGAAAGTGAAAGATCTGAATTGCTATACATACTAAGGACATTGCTTGAAGTTTGATCTAGAAATTTATAATAAATTTTAAGATACGTATGGTATGAAAGATAACTCAAATTGTTGACATGCAGGTAGTAGTTTGGGTTTCCAATAGCAAGTGGATATTTAGTGTTAAGATCTTCTGTCACAGGGTCATCTTTCAAATGACAAACAAATTGTATTCCAACTTTGATATTGCTGCTAGAATTTTTATTAGAAAGATGATGATATGAGTCCTGTATCTTGTATATAGTCCTGATCTTATGATACAAGTCCTGTGATGTACTGTATACAGCCTGTAGTATCAGAATATTTTATTACAGGTGACATAGCAAGTGTTTGGTATCATAATGAAGATGATGAAAATAGGAAAACATTTTTGGCATCTGGCACTGTTATATTTGTTGGTGACATAATTAAAATGTCATTTGATAACTCCAATCCATTTAACTGGGATTATGAAAAATATTTTATTGTCAAAACACCATCAGATGTGACTTTCAAACGCATGAAAAAGTAAGTGTTGATTAGGTTGTATCAGCTAATAATTTTTTCAGTGAAATTTCATGATTAGACCCTCATTGAATCTACAAACAATTTAAAAAAGTTATAGGAATACCATTGTGTGCACATTAGAATGATCCTTTTAGAAAAAAGATGTTGAGTTGACATTAAATGTATATTAATATTAAATGAAACTTTACAGTAACTGATACTTGAGATTTTTTTCTGTGCAACAATGATTTAGTATCATACATGAATGTGGAATTGTTATTTCTTTCTTTTTATCCAATAAATATTAAAATATTAATTTTAATGAGAATTTTATCATGTTTCATTTTCTTCTTGAGTTCAATTTGAAGTTGGACCTGCATTAGTATTGTTGACCCTGTATTGTCAACTGGGGAATGACGTGATTTCAGTGACTGCATTTGATCATGCAACCTCATAATTCAGTGATGGTAATTGGTATTAGTAAAGATTGATGTTAATAGAAGTGGGGTTTTTGTTTGTTTGTTTAATTTTTTTCATTAAAAATTACAAAATACAATTAGATGTTATTCAATGTTTTAGTGCTCTGCAAAATATTATTAATCATGCCCATGGGAGATGTTCTATGATAACCAAGCACTTGTTTGGATTTACTAAATTGGAGAAATCTGCAATAAGCCCTAATTTTTTGAATGAAAAGGGAACAGTGAAATTTTACAACAGTGAGTACTTTGTTGCGTTTCTTTTCCAAGTTTACTTTTCATTCAATACATGTATGTGTTGGCATTGGTATATTCTGTATAAAAGTAAAAGAAATAGTCTATTTTCTATTCCATTAAATACATAATCTTTCAAACCACTGATTGTATTTTTGATAAATGACATGAGTTTTTTGGGTTTATTTTTTCTTACAATATTTTTTCCAATATAGATAACCTACACAGTACACAGAAAGAAGCTATCAAGTTTTGTTTAGAGCAAAGGAATTTTGCAATAGTTCATGGACCACCTGGGACTGGAAAAACAACAGTGTTGATTGAAATTATTTTACAGCTTGTTAATACAGGCCACAAGGTACAGCTTTTCTCCCAATTTGAATAATGAAGTGGTATTGTAAAATTTGAACTATTTCTTTTAAAATGATCAAATTTTGAAAATATAATTTTTTATGGAATTATTTTCAAGTGATTTTGTGCACAATATTGTGAAGTGTATGTATTTGAACCCGTGAGAACAAAAAACAAACAAACAAACAACAACAAAAAAAAATAGTTTTTGTAAGTGTTTTTAATTAGAAGATAATTTTATCATACAATTATTGAAAATTAATTTTTTTTTTCTGCCATCTGAGGCATCATTTACACTATTACACAGTGATCTACGATAATTTAATTTCTCGTCTCATTTTCTAGTTTTGACATTTCATTCTTGCTCTTGTGTTTTGTTCTCAGCAGCTAATGTGTTTTGTGAGATATATAATAGATTGTACTATGAAATATAATATATGATATGGATGTTCATAGTTGCAGTAAAAGTTGATGGCCCAACTGGCATGGAAATACATTTTGTAATGAAAGTTGCCAAGCCAAAAATTAAGTAAAGACAAAATGTAATAACAAGGTTGTCTTTTCATTCTTTTCGAATCATAATTTTTTGCTTCTTCACCATTTCATAAAGATCTTAAGTCATTTATAAATCAACAGAAATTTACTTTTTGCATACCATGCTTCTTTTTCTCATGTTATTGTTTACTAACTTCCTGGAGTTTAAACAAATGAAGCCTGGAGGAACATAATTTGTGAATTAAAATTGAATAAGAAAATTTCCTAATGTGTATTTAAAAATATTATCCCATTTTAGTGTGTAGTATCATATTTAAGTTGTATTCTTTGTGTAAAGAAAAGTGGTAAATATTGTTTCGCCATGATGACTTCCATTCTTTCAGATTGCCAGCGTCTGGTGTAGCCTAATTCGAATAAAACACCTATGTTACTAAACAGTTTACATTGAATATTATCCATATGCTTTGTTGCTCATCAACTAATTCACTTATGAATGCCACTATAGGTAAAGATAAAATTTTAAGCTAAAAGAACTTGAGTTTGAAAGACAGTATAGGTGTAGAATTTTACTTTGCTTCTACTTTCTGTAATAGCTCCCAGGTCTACTCAGCGTGCTGTTTAGCAATTACTAGGGACAAATCTCCAGGAACCACTTCCCCATTTTACTGAATTGTCAAAGAGACTAAAATGTTCCATGTGACAAAGAAATAACAAGGATCTTCTTCTTGAGGGAAAACACTTGTGGACACCCCTCCCGTAACTGGTGCATGAAGACATGCTTGTACTGTTTTTCATAGGAAAAGTAATTTTTTTTATCATATACAGTTACAAAAGACATATTAAAGGTCCACTTGTGTGCATTTTCCTTTAAAGGCTACATTACTTCCCTATATAAAAAAATTTCCAAAAATGTGACTTAATATAACCAAATATTTAGGAAAAGTTCGGAAAAAAATAATTTTGTACTTCCTTATAAAGCAAAATCATTGTATTCTCACATCGGTTCAGAAAATGTGTTGGTTTGTTTTGTGCTTGGTGGTGATATCATCTATGATTAAGAGACCATCCATAAATTACGTGAGGCCTTAAGGGGGAAGGGGGTCAAGGCAAAAATATTAAAAATACGCATTTTGTAAAATCTCACCAAGGGGGAGGGGGAGTCACCAAAAATCACCAAAATAACCTCGCGTAATTTATGGACTATCTAAAAACTAAATTTAGACACATAAAGCTGTTGAAAACTTTGTGATAAACGTTCATTTAAAAAATTTCAAAATTTCTCTTCTAAGAATGTCCAACACCATTGTGGCTGCGTTTGTATTTAATTTCACAATACCCTTGGTGGGCTATGGATGGTGAAGTAGAAGTGTTATTGTAATAGAGTGGCTCTCCTATAATTAATGTTTTTGGTGCCTAAAGGAAATGTTTCAAGCAATTTTTTGGATTGGTTGACATCTACGGAAAAACAAGGAAATTAAAGTATTGAAAATATATAAAGAAAGTATTAGGGAATGGTTTGTCAAGTTTTGTCTCTGATTTGAGAGTACAACTGAGCTGAACAAAAGAATAGCAGAGGTTAATTTCCTTGTGTCAGGCTGAAGATTAGTATTCAACAGAGACAGAAGTTCATTTGTATTCAAGTACATTGTTTTTTTTTTTCAAAGATAGTATAGATATCGGTTTGTAATATTCCAAAAAAGTTAATGTCAAGATGGATGAATGGATATAAAATTGCATTGAAAGTATTCAAAAGTCTAATGTAGGAATCTTGGAGTTTTAAGAGAAAAGTTATAAAGTGTAAACTAAAACAACAGTGTTTAGCAATCATGTACTTACAAAGATCAGGGTATAGCTATAGGAAGAAGAAAAGAAAAACACCTTTTTATGCTGTGCTGACCACATCGATTTTGTTTTTAGGCCTATTGACGACATTAAATTAATTGTAGATGATTTGGGCATCTCTATTATTGTAACTGCCGGTGGCTGAACAGATGAGGAAATTGTGCAAGATTAATCATCATCTCTGGAGAATTATTTTAACCTTATACAGTTTGGTCACTCAAACTAAGTGCACTGTGTTGGAGTGCAATACCAACATTAATTTTAGATGCCAGTTTGTTGTGAAACAGAGATCCATTCAATCGGTGGTTTATTTTAAAGAATTATCGGAGTCATTGGGGAAACTGTCAGGAATGACATTTGTTGTATAGCATTTTCCAACAAGAGAACTTTGAGCAGTATGGTGTTCAACAAGACTAAAGTTACAATATGTGTTGACAACATAAGCGACTTAATCTACTTAGAATGATGTGGAGGTTGCGAGAAAAAAATACTCGTTACGCATCTTAGAGAAAGTTGTACCAGCATCATTATGAGGTCTAGAAAGTTTTTCCTGAATGTACTCTTGCTCAACATGTGCAATGCAACAACTATCAATTTGAATTTAATGAAGTATAGAGTGTGAATTAGAAATAAGATTAATAAAGGAAATGATTCACATCAACAAACATAATACGTGTAACCAAAAAAATGAGAGAAATAGACAATCTAGGCAAATACTATACTAGCATCATCTTTAAATATAATAAAATACTTGATGTGGCAAACAGTTTGAGGTTTTGTTTTGTTGATTTTTTATTGACGTGTTTTCGTCCTAGAGCTATACTCTGATCCAAATTATAAATACATGATTGGTAACTACTGATGTATTATTTCATTCTTTATAGGCTAGTATTTTAATACTGAAGAAACAGGTTTTCCACATGGACTCAATCACGGTTTGGTCAGTTGTATTCCATGATTTCTACATCTGTCATGTAGATTCATGTATTCAAATGCTAATTTAATTTTAATTTCCTCATAGTATTTGGTCAACCTTGTGGTACTAAGATTTTAAAAAATATGTACAGTAAATCCTCATAAACATGAAATCTGAGGGACTGAAATAATCTGAGTTTGTGTTGTAAAAATTTGTGTTGTCCAATTATTATAAAAGACTGTATTACTGTAATCCCTTACTAGAACCCAAGTTTTGTTTGTGTTACGAAACAGCAAAATTTGTGTTAAGTGATCATGCTAATGAGGGTTTACTGTAATATTATTTAAAAATGATCCTGAGTATATTGTGACTGGGAGAGGGCTCGGGGCATCAACTGATATCACTGCAGTGCCTTTTAGCAGGAGGTCCTAGGTTCGAGTCATAACAGGCAGGATTTTCATCACTGGCTACATAGTACGAATGAGTTCTGTCAGTGTTGGAGGAGAATGCTAGCAGAAGGCTGCTTCCTTAGTTTCTCTATAAATACCAGGCGAATGCCGGAGCACTACTGTAACAAATGGACCATGGGTTGTGCATGTTCTTTCTTTCCCATTTCTTGTCCTATTCACCCCTTACTTACATTTACGTGCACTACACTACTACACATGCCAGAAGACTGATCAGGAGCTTAGAGCTTGTCCTGGCATGGCTGTGCTCTGCTAATGGAAGATACCCTGCTGGGGAAAACTTGCTAGCCAACAGTAGGTTGGTGCCAGATCTCACCATCGAGTGGAGGAAGATCACTGCCACTTTCTGAGCAAAAAAAATGCACTGTACTTACAGGACTAATGTTCTTAGCAGTTGACATGCCCTGAATCACTAATTAATCAATCAAGTATATAGGAGAATTGTGTGGTAATGCATACAGTGAATATAATTTAGTAATTGGCTGTAATAAAAAATAAAGATTATCAGATGTCATTATCTTGTGGTATTACTATACCCTGATATTGTATTACTATCCTTTGTACCTGAATCATTCCCTAAATTGAGAATTAGAATTTATGTTCAAATTAGTAGGTCTATATAAAGCTGAATCAATATTTGAGACCATTTCTCTTTATGGATTGATGTTTCCAGGCACGTCAATTTGTATGGCTATTAGTTCCTTTAGGGTTAGTACATGTTTCATCCCGAGAGGTGGTAGTAATCTCACCCCACTAGAGGGCGAGATCTGGTGCCAGTCTACATGTCGGCGGTCAGGAAATATCCCTTTCCAGAGATACTCCCACCAGTGGGGCTCCACCTCATCCGAGGCTCCCAACTGATCTTCCAAGTTGTGTAGTAGTATAATGTATGCATTTGTGAAAGGGAAGGGGATAGGAAGATGAGGAAGGAAAGATCACTTGTGGTCTGTGGATCCTTGTTATGGTTCTGCTCCGGTATTCACTTGGTGGATTGGAGAAACCACAGAACACTACCAATCAAAGCAGCCAGTGACTGGAATTTTCCAAAATTCAACATAGCTCATTCCTCGTTATGTATCCTTTCGTTTCATTAATTGGATGTCTGTATAATTAGAAATCCATTGTCTCTGTTTTCTTAATTTATTTTTCATTGTTTTAGATTTGTAATTATATATTTAATATGTATTGCTCTAGTGAATGTCTAAAAGAATATGTAATAAGAATATTGAGAGTGTAGCAAGCAATGAGGTGGATAACCTTATACTCACTTTTTATAATTAGTTTCAATATTTATTCAACTATGACTGAACATTGGTTTGTCTTATTGTTTTGTTCCCCTTTGGAATTGCCTTTATTATCAGAAGTACATTTTTGTTTCACATAGTACATTCTTAGTCGGCTTCTTTTTCCTTTCAACACAAGCTAATCACAAATAAATGGTGTAATGTGACGTGATGTCATGTCACTGACCCACAGATTACATATGGTTACCAATCAACATATGTATCATTATTTGTTGTTGTTATGTAATAGGTGAGAAAGTATAATTGCGCTAAAGTAAATGTGAGTTGTGTTCAGGCTATGTAAATTTTGTAATGGTTTTTTCAATAAGTTTGCATTTGTCTTTGGTCCTATTCTTCCATAGATGGAAGTTAAGTGTCCCATGATGGATTTTCTTGGAGAATGTACTCAGGGTAGCTTCCTGTTGTTTCTCTGAGTTTTCGGCCCAGGCTTCTTTAAAAGCCTATCTCCAATACAGGTCTGGGGACCTTTTTTGAGCAGGCACACCTCACAGGCGATCCCTAAATGCACCTGGGATTTGACTTATTTTCTGTGTCAGATGTTGGTCTGTTACTATAGCCAAACTGTCTGGTTGGGAGAAAGTGAGATCTTGTTAGGATGGACGTTGTTGAAAAGATTTAATTTTGCTGTGTATCTGCCAGGGTTCTTTTATATGCCACAAGTGTGAAATGGCCACTGTGGATTTCCTGCCCTTCAAAAATTCAGACACCTCAGCTGGGATTGAACCTGCCAACTGGGGGTTCAGAAGCCAGTAAAGTAACCTGTCACCCTCCAAGGCCCCAAGATTGTATTATTCAATGTTAAATCACCTCTTCAAGACTTAAATTTGTAAATTTCATCTTGTGCATCTTTTGGTGCCTATATTTTTTTGTTTATAATGCTTGCTTCCTTTTTTTGCACCTTGTTTTTTTTGCATTGTTTGAATGACTTTTTTTGTGTTTGCAAGGCTATAATTAAGTTGAGTAGTCTCGTTTACATGCAGACAGCTAGAAATGGAGAAAGATAAATTGTGCTGTAATAAGAAATTTTGTTATAAGTACAAGCAAATGGAAATTAACACAATATTTTTTATGCCTAATTTGAAGTAAATAAAGTAATGTGATATAGGCTCTTTTGATATTCTTCCTTGGGCTCCAGTGAACAAACTTAAATACTTACTAAATACATGGTTTCAACCACAGTAGTTTAAACACTAGGTTATTGAGAGAGAGAGAAGTATTTTTTTACCAAAAGATCCTGATAATGAGGTAAATGCCATTTCTTTTCACTCAGCCATTTCATGTTGGATAGTATCAACTGAAATCCAGTGTACATCCTAGAATTACCAGACAAACTATTTTAAACCAATAAACATGGAGAAATAATTTTTAGGAATGAAATAGTTGTTTTATCTTGTGGGAAATAATTGTTTAAAATTCGACACCTGAAAATTAATTGAAAGTGGTAACAAATATTTAGTGCTTTTAGGCATTACTGAGAATTTATTAATTTATTTTGTTCATCATCCATGGCGGGCCATTAATCAGTGGCTGTTTCAAGTAATCTGTTTCACAGATTCGTTTTGCCAAAATTAGAATGTTGCATATAATAATATGTCAGTGTATGTTGTATAGTCACTATTAAGAAACAAAAAAATAATAATCTTTAAATTCTCAGATGCTTTGTTAAATTTCTGAAATGTAAAGTGATGAATTATTCTGTACTCTTTGGTAGTATTCTTTTAATACTCTTATTCTAAAATAAAAGTATTATACAGTAAAATCTGTCTAAACCAGAACCTGTACATGCCAGAAACCTGCCTTAACTGGAAAATTTCTCTAGCCTGTGAAGTTAAATGGCTTTTACAAAACTTAAAATGGTACCTCTTTAACGCGGAAACGGAATGGTTTTTCATGTCCTGCAGGGGGAGGGGGGAGTCATATAAAATGGAATTCCAATGATTTTAATGCAATTGACAGAGACATGCGAGATGTTCTTAATGAAATGAATGCACCTGCAAGCTTGTTTTAAATTTTCTATCCTTGTGACACACCGTTTAATCAAGGCAGCCGGATGTTGAAGGAGCGGAGCTTCAGCTGTCAGCGTAGAATTCGACCTTGTGGTTGCTTGCTGTAGATTGGGCCTAGGCCATGAGGGAATATCCTTGTTCCTGACTCTAAAAGTGGGAAGGTGTACAATCATGGCTTCTATTCTCGCGTCCCCCTTCCCTGCTTTGAAAAATCATTTCTCCTCAACAAGATACGCATTGTTCAAGGCCATAGGAGGGTATCAGAAAGTCATAGTACTGGGTAGTAATGCATTGTGCGTGGAAAGAGACAGCCAGCTGTCTGAATACAGCCAGTAAGGTGTGTATTTTTCAACTCGGAAACTGGAAACATTAAATGAAGAGCATTTAATATTCCTTTATTGGTGATTTCTTCCATAAATATTTTATAAGTCAATGTATTTTAATAATTATAGTAAAGTCATGTAATTTACTACTTTCAGGGCAGAAACCTCAGTATCACAAATGTCATAAAATGGACAAACTAGCATAAAACAGAAACCTCTCTAAACCGGAATTTTTCTTTCCCAATTGATGATTGTGGCCAAGATTTTACTGTATTTGGTTTTGTTATTTTGTCAATTTATTAAATAATTCTTATATAATTATTGTATTTGGTTGTTCTAATAATTGTGAATTAGAGAACATGTATGTTGTTATATAATCTGCTGTTTGAGTGATGCTGTATGATTAATGTGTATGAACACAATTCTGACCATCTTTCTTTAAGGTTTTCTCCAAGCATTGAAAGTCATGATTAAAAGAGATAACAGAAATATATCTTGGTGTACAGGCACTGTGTACTCATAAAAGGAGTAGTCCTATTAAAGGATTATTATACCCTATCGTCTTTCACTACTTTTCATTAAAACTGCACATGACAAAAAGTTAATGAACCAATATTTCAGTATTCTTATAAATATTTCCAATTAAAAAGACTTAATCTATTACTTTAATAGTTCAGCTTAACCAAACTGTCAATTAATTTTTGCATGAAATTGTAAAATATTTAAGCATATGATAACTTGTATATCTGTGTTCTGCTGTCCATTTTAAGTGCAAATAATGTACAAATTTTTATTTTATATATATGTAAATATTTTACTTTGTTTAAGAAATTGCTTTCTGTGTCTTAGTTACTTCTAATTGTACTTTTTAGGTACTGGTATGTGCACCCTCGAATATTGCAGTTGATACTTTAGTAGAGAGGTTGAATGTCATAAAGTCAAAAATTATTCGAGTGGGAAAAATAGCTCGAATGTTGGAAAGTAGTAAGAGCTCTTCTTTGGGAGCCGTCATGTCTACAAGTGATGATGCACCAATTTTAAAAGATGTTAAAGATGAATTGGAACAACATCAAAAAGAATTAGAAAAGGCAAAACCTGGTGCTAAAGCATATTTACGTCATGAAATTAGAGAATTGAAAAAAGAATATTACAGGCGGCAATATAAAGCCCTTCAAGAACTGCTGAAGAGGGCAAGTGTAGTATTGACAACACTTACATCAGCTAGTGAAGATGGTGATCTTAGAAATGTGACCTATGAGCACTTTGATGTTGTAATAATTGATGAGTGTTCACAGGTAATTATTTGAATTCATCTTTAATTTTGAGGCTTATTTTTAATAAAACTTTTTCTTCATGAAAAATTTCCACTTGTTTGAGTATTTTTACCTTAGAGGGAAGAAACGACCTATTATGTTTTTATATTATTATAATTTTACTGTAGTACATCGAAAGAGAAATATAAAAAAATTGCTTTATACGTATTCCAGTTAGAATCTACAATTTAATCTTCACCCTATGATTACCATTATCATTAAAAAATTCAAATAATGAAAATAGTGACTTGGTCACAAATTGATTTAATTGACCCTTTGAAATGTGCTTAAATATAAATTTGTCCATTCAAAAATACAATGAGTGAATATGCTGAAGATAGCTTAATTTGTTTTGGGAGAAAATTAATTTGTTGTGAAGTTTCACAAGTTAAGAAACTGGCAACATATCAACTCCTCAATTAGCACTCCCAATTCTTCATGTGGTCAGTACACTTGAGAATGGAGAAATATTTGAGTGAAGAAAGTTAATAGTAAAATAAAAAGTTTGTTGTTAGTATATGACTATAGTCCTTTAGCGATTGTGCAATGTATGGACAGAAAAATTGCTCTTTTGTTACTTTTTTGTCAGGCAACAACTTCACTTTCTATGACTGAATTTTGTTTTATTTAACACTGAGTAAATAAAGAAGAGAGTAGATAGAAAAATTGCTAGCACTGTCCCCAGTTTTACCATGAAAAACACACAACCATACACATGGACAATCACTTCTGAGGAGTGGCATGAATTGTACATGGCCAACGGGAATGCACTGGAATTTTGAGGGGACTAACTTTCGTATCTTTTGATAACATCTTCAGGAAAACTCTTTGAAGGATCAAAATATTTTTTTATCTGGAAAAAGTGTAAACAAATGTGAATAATTGATGAAATATTTATTTAAATCCAAAATTATTTATTTAGAGAGTCAGATCCTTGTTACTAGAATGGATGGCCATTTAACAAGACTCAAAAATACTGGAGTATGTTACTTGTGTTAAATGTGTATTTGTTGGGATTTTTGACTAATTACATGATGTATAATTCTAGGCTATTGAAGCTGCCTGTTGGATTGCTATTCCTAGGGCACCTAAACTTATAATTGCTGGTGATCATTTGCAATTGCCTCCAACAATCAAAAGCAAAACTGCAAGTGATTGTGGTTTAGGTGTATCATTAATGGAACGAGCTATTTTAAGAATGGGCCCAGAATGTTTTAAGCTGCTAACACATCAGTATCGAATGAACTCCTCTATAATGCAATGGGTATCTTCGTTTTATAATAATCAGCTTGTTGCTGATTCTTCTGTTGCTAACCGGTTATTAAAAGATCTTCCAAATGTAAAGGAGACAGAATTGACAGGTAGGTTCAAGTAAATTATTTTGTATGTTAATTATAACTTGTTTTTTGATTTATTGTTGAATTTTGTTTTATAATAAGGTAAATTGAAATTTCATAGGCATGCTTGTTTGTGTTAAAAACCATACTAAATTCATGTCTTTCTGTTTGGCTAATTTTCATTTTTTTATAGCATTCATTAAAAATGTATAATTCATTAATTAAAAAATTACTGTCTCCTTGGGACAGTGGTTAATAATAAAAATATGTCTGTGCCAAATCTTATGAACATTAAATATCAGAGTATTGTCTCAATTACATAGATCTTTCATTCTTCACAATAACGCAAACTATTGTTAATTTGTAACCAGAAATATATTGAACTGTCATTGAACATTATAAATAATAATCTAGTAAATTCTAGTTCATGTGCCAGATAATTTTATCTCATTGTAAGAATATAAATTGTTTGATCCTCCAATGTAACTAAAGAAAGAATGGCCAGATCTATTTCTTTCTTTCTTGGCACAATTTCAAATTGTTGTGAAAATGTGTGGTGTGTCACAAATTAGATTATACTATGGAATGGTGTACAAATGTTTTGATTATTGTTGTATTTAGTCACTCATAAGTCTGCTTGTTACACTGTGGGACGGTTGTGAATGTCTTTGACAGACGTGATAATCCTAATTTTAGATACTCATATCTTGACAGATTTGCCATCTTTTCTCTAGTTATCCAGAGTACATGTAACATGATGGTAGGTTATCAACTTCCCTATTTCACATTCATTTGTTGAAGAATTGATTTTACTTGTTTTTCATGTGCTTGATGAAGAATTGATATGTTTTCTATAGTATTATGTTTGTTCACCTCTGAGTTGGTCTCGATTCATTCTCTGACCTTAGAAGAAGTTTTCTTTCCTCATTTCCTGTGTTCAATTGATATTGCATTTGATGCAAAATGGATTTCAGTCTTCACTTTTCAAATTGAATTACTTTAGTTTGTCACAGTTGCGAACATCAGTTGAAATTTTCATAAATCACAAACTGCTCTCCTCTCCAACTGTATATTCAGGAATAAAATAAAATACAATTAAATGTGTGACCATATCTCAATAAACATAGTAGTGAGCTATGTGGGAGGAATAAGTTGAAATGCTAAGCGACAGTTTTATCACAACTTGCGCAAGATGTTACCTGATGTAACAAATTTTACTGAAAATGGTATGTATTATTTTGTTTTATTTAATATTATTAATGTTAGCTCTGGGTGTCTATTTATAGTATTTCACTTATACTAGTCTATTTTAAGTTTTAGATATTGAAAGAAATGGAAGAACATGCCAAGAAGCATTTGAAAGAAGAGGAGCAATGAACTCTGTCGTCTATTCAGTGTAGGCCTGCCTCTTCAGCTTGAGTAATTTGCTTTTCAAATCAAATCTATTTTCTCTTAAAATGCTTAGACAATTGATCTTTTTAACATGACTTCATCTTTCAAATGCACACATATTTCATATGTATTTTATTTTTGTTTATTTTGCAACACCAACATATTTATTGAGTAGAGATTACATTAATTTGATCCCTTCAGTGGTCATGTTTGAAAGTTTGTGTTCATATATCTGTTTATATGAACATGATTTACGTAAATACATCACAACATAAAATATATTTCATTATTTAACATTTCCAGATCCTAAAAAGGTTTGATTTCATTGAAATACACCCTTACATAGTTCCTACACAATAGTTCCAGCTTAAGTATCATCCTTACATCTTACTGTGTGTTTATATCATTATTATTATTATTAATAATAATAATAATAATAATAATAATAATAATAATAATAATAATAATAATAATAATAATAAAAGATTGAAATGATTTGGATTTGGGGAAAAAAAATTAGGATTTTGCCCACCTCAAATGCTGATGTATGAACTTGCGTCTTTGTCTCTTGATACAATTAATAATATTAAACACTGGAGATCATGATAATTCCAACTATCTTCACCATATATGAATAACAAATAAATAAGTAGAACTAAGGGAGCTTGAAAAACAAAATACCTATGCTATCCAGTGTATTTTGTGTAAGTAATAGTTGCACTGTAGTGTCATTTCAGTGAAATGTTATAATGCTAAGAAGAAATACCACGAAGGGATAAAGAAGAGACCATGTCAGATGTGAAAGATTTCTATTTTACAATAACGAAATTTGAATTAGAGCAAGACTATGATCACTGAAGGGTTCTTTCCCACCCCGCCATATTTACTCCTGAATATTCTTCCTGCTCTTCCTCTTAGTAACTTGCTTATAAAAAATTGTCATTTAAATTTGATGACTCTCAAATTAAAGAAACTGAATGAAAACAAGTTTTCCTAATCTAAAAATTCATTCATAAAAGTTTTCATGTTAATAGTTGTTTATACCTGTGGGTAGGAATTGTAAATTTTAAATGGAAATTGTTGTTTATTAATTTTTTGATGATAATAATATCAACAATAATTATTACTAAAAATGATAATAATAGATGTTTAAGAACTGTGCAGAGTTGCAGCAGCTATTTCAAAGGTTATAATGTCTCACCCAGCCTCAGTACCTTTTACTTTTACTGACTTCCCTGTATGGCACATTCCCATGGGTCTGCTCTGTTTCCCTCTGTTGCAGAAACATCCTATTTTTCTTTATTGCTGATTATAATAGTCCTACCATAGTTAACAAGGAACTAACGGGTATTGTGTTGGTAATACAGATGGCTTCAGTCTTTCAAAGGTGTTGTAGCTGCATTATGTGATGCATTTTGAAATTTTGCCCACCTCAACTCCACCTTGTTTTTGTATATGTCTTTCATCAAATATTGAAGTGCAACAATGTGATGGAACAAATTCATGAAAAAATACGAAGCACATGTGCAGCACCATCATTCAGAAGCTGCTAGTTTTCTATGAACCAAGGGTCTAAAATTCTACAAACAGCACAATTCTGAAATAGATTCCTTGAAAAAATAAACTGTTTAATTTGTGATTTTTTGACTTTTTGGGCTTTATAAAATTCATTGTTAAACTACATACTAAATATTAGAGTAAAAGTACAGTGTTGGCCTGCTGTGATCTTAGTATTCTATTAATGATAATGATAAGCAGAAGCTTTTACTAGTTTCGGTATGAATAGTATTTGCTAGTGCCTTAGAATTATATAAAATTTCTACTAGGGTCAATTTAAAAAGTGCACTGTATTTCATTTTGCAATATCCTGATGAAGTCTGTGAGCGTTGTGAGTAGATAAAATTGACTGTTGATATTTCGAGTTTCCCTGCATTTATTTGCACATTTTAAAATAATATTTTTATCTTGCACGAGTCTCTTACTGTAAAGACATTTGACACTTGTTGACTTTTTTAGTATTTTGAGTGTAATATTATTTGAATGTTACAAAAACTGTAGTTAGTGAAGTATATCTTTCTAGTTACATATCTTTCTAGTTACATTTTCCACTTTTTTTAAATTTAAATAGGCAGTATACTTTCAAATGTGATACTGCTGTAAGTGTGCGTGTGCATGTATGCTGTGCTTTAAGGAAGGAGTTTTGTTAGTTTCTCTAAAAACTTGAGCACAAAAATACTAAGGCACCAAAAATTATTGCAGGACAAGTAGAAAAACTTACTTTCCATTTTCTACAAATAGCTTATCAAGCTGTGGTTAATCTTGTTTCACCTATCTTGAATCAGTTTTGTTTCTGGACATCATAATATCATGTGAAATGGGTGTAATACTTTATTTCCAAGCAATATGTTTACCGCAATTTATCCTAGTTTTAAATGACAACCGTTGATTTCAAGAAATTGTTTTATCTCTACTTGCAATGAATTTTTGTCATTAACAATTTAATGACATGCTTCCATGTCCATATGTCAAGTTGCATGGGTTCTTGAACGATCTGAAATAACCTGTGTTAGTGGTATGTGTTGGAGTAATATGTGTTGGCTAATGTCGAAATCTGGCTGATCAACTGCTTCACATTGAATATTTATAAATATAATAACTTAACATTGTACAAACTGGGTTTTAAAATTCTGAAGTAGAAACAGCTTTGAAACATATATCAGACTTTGGCAGGATAAACATAATTTCCGAGTTACATACATTGGTTAAGTGTGGTGCAGTGTAATGTGGATTGCTTGTGTGATACCTTAGTATCATAATCTATGAACTCATGTCTTTTTCATTTTAAATGTGTGATGCAGGACTTGGGGGTATTTTCCTCAGTAGTAGTAGTAGTAGTAGTAGTAGTAGCACACATACGGTTTTAAACAATGTTTCTCATACATTGTATAAACTGTCAACCTTTCATACTACTTATAAAGAGCCTTTATTTTAACTTGTCACCCATGCCTGGGAGCCAGTTTGTTTTGTCATAACTTTGGCTATCACGTATCTTTGCCACTAGTCAGCCACAGGCGGGACATCAGATCAGTACAGAGGGACATAAACAACAGGTCTTAAACAGAAGCAATTTCCTGGTTGTCTGTTTTTCCGATTCAAACTGTATGATGGTCGGGTTCAAGGCTCACAGGTCAGAGAAAATCTTTTCGGGCAGAAAAAGGCAAGGTAGGATGAGATGGGGTGGGGCATGAATTGGCAAGACAAAACATCTGTTTTTACAATTCTGTCCCACCTGCAAAGGTGGTGAAGGACGTCGACTGATGTCACTGCAGTGCCTCGGACCGGGAGGTCCTAGAGTTTGAATCCCAGTATTTGGATTTTCAACACTAGCTACACAGCTAAGTCGAATTCAACCACAGTCTGAAAGAGTCTGATTGGTAGTTTTCCGTTGTTTCTCTGATCAAAATCAGGTGAATGCCAGAGCAGTACCCTAACAAATGGGCCACAGACCATGCATGATCTTTCCTTCCTCTTCCTTGTCCAAACCTCACCCTTTACTTATACATACTTAACACTCACAAGCACTACACTTCCACAGACACCAGGAGACCAGTTGGAGAACGTAGAGATTGTTGTGGCTGAGGCAGTGCCCCACTGATAAGGTGCCTGGTTGGAGGAAATCCCCACAAGTCGATGGAGGTTGGCACTAGATCATGCCATCAGCAGGGGAAGGTCACTGCAGTATATTCTAAATACCAAAACTGGGGTATTGAAAACCTGAAAGCTATGACTGATTTAGCGATTTAGTAACCTCTTTATAACAATACTTATTATTTAAATAAGATCTGCCAAGAGAAATGGAAAAGACATCTAGTGAAACATCATTGCCAAGCTAATCTGTATTTAATATTATTACAATTATTGTTATTATGACTTATCTTTATTATTAGGCATGTTGGTGCCTATTGCTTGAGACCACTCCCCCTGTCCCTAAAGCACTAAATCCATTCACAATGTCCACTTTTCATGTAACCTTTCCTCGCACTTCAAAAATGATTTTGTACTGAAGTAACTTCCACCAAAAGTCACATTGATTCTTTGTCATAGCCATTCTTCATTAATGTATCTGAATCTACAAAAGTGTGAATGAAGTGAGACTGAATTACTGCCAAAGGACAGAATGTGATGATTTACACACTTCCTTTTGTCATACGATTTGGGAGTTTTAGCAAATGCATACAATGCCTTCTGGGGTAGCAGGCTGTTGTGCACAAGTGTACTAAACCCTAGAATCATTTGGCAGGTGTATGTGTGTTCTCCTTCAACTATAATGGTGGCCTTCCCCCACCCCAAAACTCAAGGGCACATTACTGCTGGAGCATCGCTGGAAGTGAAGGGGTGCCAAAGGTACTTCACGTAGTTGCCAAGTCATCACTTCTCTGGCTTGAATTTCCAAATACTGGTGGCAAGTTAAAATAAAGACCCTGTGTAGAGAGGATTAATACTAGTGTAGGGCCATGTTAACTGAATCAGGATGGGACTAGGGGGTAGGTCAGTTCTCAAAACAAAAGTTGGTATAAGAGGAATAAAAATGAAGAGAATTTTTATAAATAAAAAACAAATATTGAAAATGAAATGTATCCTTATTAGTTAAGACAGTTAATTTTTTTAGATAGGAATTATTCCTGTTGCATGAAACTTACAAAACTAGGTTGAGTATGGACATACTATGTCTTGTGAATTGATTATTCACATCATCAGGTATATTGTAAAAGATAAAATAAATCAAATTTAGTTCTATAAATAAGAAAAATGTGAGATAGAGTTGAAAATTCTTGCAGTTTAACCGTTTCAATCTCTTATCATTCTATTTACAAATTAAAATTTCCCCACATTTGTCCTTTGCTCTTTTACCCAAGTTTTGTGACTGATTCCCTCTAACATAATTTCTATATAATCTATTCTGAATTTTTACCATATTGTTTTTTTAAAGTTCTGTTACGATTCGTAACACTTTTCAATTTGTCACAGCCATCAACTGCTGTGGAACATTTTTTTGAGTCGTCCTTTAATTTGTAGTCTCCCTTATCCCTTTTGCCAGAGGCTCGCGCCTGGCGTTCCTAGATGGTCACCCAACCAGGAACATGCAATGTCTCAAATGCACTTTATCTCCACGATTTCACTGAGCTTTGTTATGGAATTCAGCTATCGATGCTGTCTTCACCTATATATAATTTGCTCAAAGTTTAAAATGCCCAGGATCTGTAAGACAATTTCACATATAGATATCTAAAGCATATTAAG